TTGGGCCAGTCCTCTGCGTGTGGTGACGCAGTTTCCTCGTATGTAAAATTATAGGCTCAGAAGAGATCATCTCTTCAGCTCCACTGGTTCCATGAAGCTGTCACTTCTGAATACTTCTCGAACACCCACACACAATCTCCCTGGGCACAGACATCAGGGTTTGTTTCCTAGTCTCTGAAAGCTGCCTTACCTGTGCAAAGTTCTCTCTCGTTAGTCCTCGCTAAGCCCTGTCCTGCAGGGAGGTATCCCCAATCCCTTGACCAGATGGGAAACAGATGGATTCACGGTATAGCGACTGGCCCTACAACACAGAGTGAGGCTGGGACCTGGGCTTAGGTCTCCACTGCCCAGGTGAGCACCCATGCTGGGACACAGAGGCTGAGCATCAGGAAAGCCACCGCCCAAAGCCAGTAGTCCTGGGATGCCTGTCCTTTTGAGCCCTGGTGGCTGTGACAGACACCTCTGCAGAGGGAAGGCCAGCACACCTTTGATGATGGCAGAGAGAAGGTGACCAAGAGAAAAGTGTGTACCCAAAGCACCAAAACTGGGATGGATTTCCCCAACTCTCAGCACACCACCGCCCATGCAGCAGAGGGAGCAAGCTCCCTGGTGAGGGTGGAAGCAAGGCGGAGCTAGAGCCATCAGCCTTCGCATCCTCTGTGATCTGACAGCCGGGAGAACACCACCCAATTATCCTCAACAAGTATTTCCCCACAGCCCACCCAGGCTGGGCTGGGCTGCCCAGAGTTTTAACTTCTAAGGAGTAAAGAACGTGTTCAAAACGCAGCACATGAAAAACAAGTGTCTCATCTTTTCAGCTCTGCCTCTGGGTGAAACTCCTGCTCCATCCCTTGCCCACTGTGTGACTTCAGGCAAGGCATTTAACCTCTCTGAACTTGTTTCCCCAACTGAAAAATGAGAATAACCATACCTGTGGCGATAAATTGTTTTGAGGATCAAATGTGCCCTGCAAAAAGCAGGCTGAGTCAGAGTGGTTCTCTCCTAAGAGGACTTCTTGTAGGAAAGAAGATTGTAAGCACTGCTTCTTATATTTCCTTCGACAATGTCTCTGTTCATATCAGTTCTGCAAGTGTGCGGTCATATTGCACATTGTAGTTCTTCTCTGACTTTTTAGAGTTAAAATGATCAAATCATGTTAACGTACCACTCGTGTGTCTCCCTGCCTGCCCTGAGGAGGTGGCTTGTGGCCCAGGAGTCACACTGGTGTGTCGGGTGGTGTCCTCATGAGAGTCATACAGGTGTGGCAGCCCAGAGTCAACTGTCCACCTACGTTTGTGCCCAATGTTGACCTGGGCCAGGACACTTTCCTCGGTTGTAAAAACAAGCAGATTGGCCCAGGGGACCTGAGGTTCCTCCCAGCTCAGAGATGTCAGGATTTTATGATTCAGAAGCGTAAATCATTAGGCTAGGACTTTAGAAAGCCCTGTTGATAATCTGAGATCACAGAGTGTTAATGCCACCTTCTTGCTGTATAACTTGGGAAGAGGGAAATTATGTTTCCTAAATAAAGTGAAGTCATGTGTCATACACAGGATTTGTGTTTTATTTTTTAAATCCAACCAGATTAACATTTAAATCCGAAGAGGCTGCTCTTCTAAGAAAGCATTTGAAAATGTTCCATATTATCTCTTAATTTCATTTGTGCCATGTGAGATTTGAGATATATATATATACATAATGGAATATATATATGTGTCTTCTATTTGCAAATGATGAAGCATAAAAATATTTAGAAATAACACCTACGAGCCCACCACTGGCCTGAAGAAACAGAACATAATGGATCCCACTGAGATTACAGCAGGATCACTGCTTCCCCCTAAAGATAATCACCTTGATTTTGCATTATAATTCCCTTGCCTTTTTCTTTTTTAAACCTGCTTAAATTTGTGAACTAGAACCTATGCATAGAGGCATGTGTGAAGCATGCATGGACCCAACAACTGACTGCAAAGTGACCTCCTTTGTGACCACGGCCCACCTTCCCTGACTCCCCTGGTCCTCTTGCTCTCCCCACCCATGGTGACATTTGACTTTTATTTAAGGTAATCGCCTTCTTGCCTTTTGTCGTCATTTCACATCTTGGGCACGTATCACCGAACAACTCATTGTTAGTGTGCTTGTGTTTTGAGCTTTGTAACGCCCTCGGCAGCTCTCTGCCGAGACTCTGAAAGCGTCTCGCAGATGCTGGGATTCCCTGCCCCGCACCTGCGGCCTGAAGGTCCAGCAGGAGGATGAGTAATAACAACAATACGCTGTCACTCCTGTTTACGATGTGGTGTGCCCCACCACTAGGGGTGCTGAACATGGTCCCCAGTGACCTCACTGATCCTCTCAGCCACCCTGAAAGGGGGTATTTCACTGGTTTAGAGAGGACAAAATTGAGGCTTCAGCTCCCAGGACCTGTCTCCCCGTCTGCTTCCTGACTGCTCAGGCCCCAGGAGCATCACCACTAAGTCCTCAAGCAAAGATGCCTTTGCTTCCTCCAGGGTGCCTCTCTTGGTAGTCTAGTTGGGCTGCTTTTAGATGCTACAGGAAAAAAAAAAATGTTTAGAATCCATTTTTTTTTTCCCAGCAAGTGCCAATGACTTAATGAAGACAGGAATCCGGCCTGGTCAGTGCTGTTTTTTCAATGATTAACAAATAACATTGTCATTGGATCGTCTAAAGCTGTGTTGTGTAATGAAGATCATTAAGCCAAAAGCCCTGAGTTCAAATCCGGACTCCACTACATCTGGCCACCGGATGTCAGTCTCATCTGTAAATGGGCCAGCAATGGCAGCCTGGGCTACTGTCAGGATCACAGGCGGTCAGAGAAGGGAGACCCACAGACACATCTGAGTTCCTCCGTAGGCTCCTCTCTAACCTCTCTCCCTCCCGGGGCTGAGGACCAGCTTTCAGTGCTGGAAGGATCACCCACCATTTGACGGACATAGGGAAATCGAGAAAGAGAAGCGGCAGAGTGACGGAAACCCAGGTACCCCAACCAGGCCCCTTCACCTCAACATGTGACAACTGCTCGCATACCCTGTGTCTGGCACCATACAAAATGCTGTTCATAGAATAGCTCATTTAATGCTCATGACACCCCTACAACGCAAAGGCTGTGGTTTTCCCCTTTTCACGGGAAGGACATTGAAGCTCTGAAAGGTAAAGTGACTTTCCCAAGATCACACAGCTAGGAAAGGGCCAAGGTCATCCGACTTGGCCACCCCCACTCCTACCCTCTGGGCTCCCAGGGGCCCCACGGTGCTCTGGAGGTTATGCGGGACCTGCCCAGTCTGGCCTCCCAGGCAGCCAACCAGGACCCCCAGCGCCCCTGCCCCAGGAGTCTGCATCCGAGGCAAAGGGGCCTCGCCCAGGCAGGGCCAGGTCCACTGCGGAGAACAAGCAAATCTCTCAGGCTGGAGGGTGGTTCCCATGGAGACAGAAAGAGCTCAAACTCACCCTGAAGGGCACCTGTGGGGGGCCAGATGCCAGCCTGCACCCTAGGTGGAAACCTCGGCCTGGCTCCCGCCACTCCCCTCTGTGCCACCAGCAAATCCTCAGCCTCCGCCCCCCAGCAAGACGTGAGTTCCAGAAATAAGACTTCCCAGCCCACTCCCCGCTCAGCCGCCCCCAGAGGGGCCTCTCTGGCTGAAAACAACGCCCGGGGCCAGCAGGCTTGGCACAGCTGTGGCTGTCAGCCGGCCGAGTGTTGTCCTGCCTGAGGAATGTGCAGACCCACACGTGTTAGAGCATCCCGCTGGGGCACAGTGACAGGAAACTGAGCAAAACAGCTCGTTGGCACGGGACACCCCTGCTACCTCCCACCTCCTGACCCCTGTGAGCTGTTGGCTGCCGGGCAGTATAGGAGGCAAGGCTCGGCCCCTCAGGAGACCCAGGCTGTGCGGCTCTGGGCAAATCACTCCCCCACTCTGGGCCTGTTTCCACTTCTCTTGGAGGATGAAGGAGGCTGTCCCGCCAAACTCAGAAGAGCAGTGATTTTGTAACATGCTCCCATCATCTCCTCCTGCCCTCACTCATGGGGGGTGGAGCACGACCCCGAAACACATCAGGCTACGCCAAGAGCAGCTCTTGGCTGTAGAAAGCCCCTCCCTAACGCTAGGAGGAAGCGACCCCTTCAGAGATGAAAGAGACCAGGGGCCTGGGAGAGGGCCTAGAGCAGACCTGGGTCAGAGCTTCATGGCCAAAAGGGTAGAACAAAAATATTCCTTGTCACACCACCCGGATGGAGTCCCCTGGCTTCCAGGTTTGAAGCAGAGGGCAGCGGCGCTCTGTGGGACACTGCACCTGGGTTGACCAATGAGCCACGTCCACGGGTCTGCTGCCTGGGGTCAAGACCTCAAACGAAGCCAACATTCATCTGAGGCTTCCCCAGGCCTTGCAAGCGATCTTTGGCCTCACTACCCCTTCCTTTAGAGATGTGGGAATGAGGCTCAGAGAGGCTCAGCCGCCTGCCCAACGCTGCACAGCCCGAAGGTGTCTGAAGGAAACGTAGACGGCGGTGGACTTCCCCTCCTTACCGCCTGCGCCGCTCTCTCGGGCACCAGTGAGCGTGAGAGCGCGTGGTCTGCAGGAGGGGGTATTCCAGCTCCCGTTCCGGCCGAGGCCAGGCACACGCGTGGTGACAGGTCCCCTCGCCCCTAGGGGAGGCAAAGGGAAGACCGGAGGAGGCGCCCGGCCCCGCTGGGACGCGCTGCCCAGAGCTTTTAGGGCTTTTTCTTGCGGGCCGAGCCTCCAGGGTTCGAGAGGAAAGGCTCGGGATCTCGGAGCCAGCAGGGAACGGTTGGATTCAAACTAAAAATACCCGCCCGCCCGCAGCTGTCACGCCGGGGCCCCCGCCCTCGCGCCGGCTCGCCCCCCGGGTCCCCTTGACTTGCGGCGCCCGATCCCAGGGGATGTGTCCGCCGTGGGCCGGGGGCTGAGGCCCCGACCCTCCCGGCCCCAGCCCGGCCTGCCAGCCCCGCGCCACTTACCCGGCCCGGAGCGTGGAGGAGCGCGCGCCGCGGGCGGCTGGGGCCGAGCCTCCCTCCCTGCTCTCTGCGTCCCGGGCGGCTCCGGGGCGGGGCGGGGCGGGGCGGGGCCCGGACACCCGAGCGCCCCCGCCCCCGCTGGGACCTGCCGCGGGGGCCGCCCGCCCGGGGGCCCCGCCACCCGGCTGGGCGGGAGAGGGACGCGCCGGCTGCGCGCGCGCTCGGCGGAGGCCCGCGGGGACCTGGACGGAGGAAGAGCCTCACCGCCCCTGTCGCAGACCCGGCCGGCGTGGGGGGCTGTCCGCGCTGCCCTGGAGAGCCGCCCGGGCCCCCGCCTCCGCCCGGGCTCATGCTAGGGGATCGCGCAGAGCGGCCTGTCCCTGGGATGTCGGATGTGGAGAGGGAGTTCTGCGCGTCCAGACTTGGGGAAGGGGACTGGCACGTCTTACCCTCGCAGAGCCAACAGAGGCAGGGGCGCACCGCCAGGAGGCGCGAAATCCAAGAAGGAAGTGACCCCAATCGGCCAGGCTGATGGGGCGGCGGGGACTTCGTCAGTTCCCTCCCACCCCACAGTCTCGGGGCCACAAGGAATGTGAATCCCACCCCTAATGTGAACCTCCCACAAACCCGAGGCCCAAGAATGTGCCTCTCCTGCCCCCAACCACAGCTCAGCAGACACCTCTTCTCATCTGTTCACCAACCCCTGCTCCAGCGACTCCCTTTAACTTTGAATCAGAAGGTCCAAATCTTACCTGCCTCTGTGCCTTTGCACTTGCAGTTGGCCTGGGGTTTGCTCCACAGCCTCCTGCCAAACTCCTCCTACTGTGTGATGGCTGGAAGCCTGGAACCTCTGCCGTCTCATCCTCCGCCCCTCTCCCAGGCCGGCAGTCACTGGCATCCAGCCAAGCTTTGAACTGTCTTTGGCCCCAGCCCTTATCTTTTTCAAAATAATTACATATTTGCATGATTGGATCTGCCTCCTCTGGATCCGGATGAGAGCCGCTAATGAGGATACAACTTGTAAAACTAGGTGCCATGTGAACTTCTGTCTTCACAATTTAGGTGTGGCTAAGCCCATTTTACAGATGAGGAGACAGAAGCTCCAGGACTTTAATAACCAGCCCAAATCCAAGGCTTTGGGGAGGGTGTTTTCCTCTTTTGTTTCTTAGCAGGGCTGGTAGATGTTTGTTGAATAATTCAGTGTAAAAGTCAGTGTCCTAAGAGATTAAATTGTACAGGACCAGATAGTAAAGGGGTATATGTGTCTTTTCTGAATCGAGGAAGAGATAGAAGAATTAGCCCAAACCCAGGATTAACACTGAAGCAGACCTACCTTGAATTAGAGCGCCAGAGTGTCAGCCCTGGCTCCTTAATTATATCCCATTCATTAAGCCATAATTATTCATAGCGTTGTTGGAGATGCACACAAAGGGCCTCTCCTAGCCTTGAACTTGACTGGTTCCAGGTGCCTGGTTCCAGGTGACTGGTTCCAGGTGTGCTATTAAGCCTCTCATTATCACCATGACTCCATCGGAGGTGCTGCCGCTGCCGCAGGCAGTGGGGTTACAACAGCCAAACTGAAGGTGCAGATGGTGATTAACTATTATTATAATACTTCATTTGGATAATACGTTTTGCTTTTCAGAATGCTTTCAAATGTATCTCCTCATTTAATCTCTGCAAAGATCCTCTAGGTAGTTAGGAAACGTTTAATGAGTTTTGTCTTCTGAGGGAAACCAAGGCACAAAGAGGTCAGGTGATTTGCACAAGGACAGAGTTGGCCCCCCCAGGCTGCTGGAAGGGTGGAGCAACAGGCTGTGAAAAGTCAGTGTCCTGCATGGTGAGAAGTTAAGATTTCAAGCCCTGGTGCCAAAGTGCCCCAATTTACATCTTTCGGCTGATTACTCATCCTCGGTTTCTCTTCTGTTATACGGATCTAGTAAGAGGAGTCTGTCTCGCGTGGTTTCGTGGCTGGCATTGTGAGCACCCAAATTTTGCGAGCTGTTATATTTTGGTTGTGGATCTAGTATGGTCACTCTAGTTTCTGGCACACAGCTGTTCAGTCTTTCATCAAACACTTCCTGAACTATGTGTTAACCATGTGCTGGTCTCTCTGGAAATAATGAGAAGAATGAGGCATAGACGCCTACCCTCAAGAAGGTCACGGTGCAATGATTCTCTGTCGGTGACTGGGTAGTGTGGTGCTCAGAGATGCAGCACGGAGCCACGGAGGGACCCAAAGTCCAGGTGCCGCTTTGCAACTTACTTAAGTGAGTGAACTTCACAAGTTATGTAACCTCTTACAACACTGGTTTTCGCACCTGTTAGATGGGGATAGCAATATTTCATATGCAAAAATACATGTGATAAAAATATCTTATAAACTGCAAAATACCATGCAGGTGTTAGTTGTATTATTATTATTGTTATTATCTTTGGCTCATAGGGCTTGCTGCTTTTCAGAATACTCAACCATTACTTTTCGTAAGCCTGACATAAACATCTCATCAAAAACAGGACCCTGTTTTTTATTCAATGACAGTCTTTTTCCTCTCCAAACTAGTCCATACGGAAGGAAAAATTGTTGCGTCAGCAATGCAGGAGAATGGGGGAGTTTGCAACTAGGGAGGCTACAAAAACTTCAATTCATCTTCGGCATCACCTGCTGCTACAGAAAGGAGTAGAAATAAAAGCCTATCTGGAAAAAAAAATCTGGCAAAGGATGGGGAAGAGCCCCTCTGTCATCTCTGGAATTGAGCACAGGAAACCCCGCCCTGAGGCCTCCTCTTCAGAAGCAGCCCTGAGAGGGAACCACAAGAAGAGTACTAAAATTATGCCGTTCGGAAATTCTGACTCACTTGGCAGTGGGGGCTGTTCGTGCAACGTACAAAACGTCTTCCAAAAAGCAAAGTTTTTACTGCTATTTCCCCATGTCTCTTCCCTGCAGCCAGCATCTCCACCAGCACTCGTGGGGAAGCAGGGGCTAATTTAATAAGCCTGAGGAAATTATGTGGGTCTGTTTCACATTTGCAGTTGGTTAGGCAGCTTCAGCAACAATCTGTACCATTCTCATTTTGTAAGCGTGCTTTGTTTGTGTGTTCAGAAATATTGCAACAAAAGCTGCAATGGCTTTTCTGCCTAATACAGCCCCTGTATTAGTATTATATGAATGGGTAGACTGAGGCAAGAGGGTGCACAGGAGAGGTACTACCCAGGGTCCCAGGACAGTAATTGGTGCTCTGGAAATTTATGTTTCCATCTCTCTGTCTCTAGCCTGGTTTCCCACTTAGTGGTGAATTGAATAAGTGCTGCTGGCTTAACATAGATGAGAAGCTTACACTGGGGTGCCCATTTCTGGGGTACCTCTCAGAGAAGTCCTGATCTGAGCGTGGAGAGCTGGTTTTCAACTCAGCTCTGCTCTCAGCTGTTTCTTCTTCTTTGTTTTCTGTTTGCCAGTTCTGTTAGTCTGTTCTTCCCCACTCGGGTCCTACCATGTGCTTCGAGGGTGAGTGGATGCCCCACCCTGGTGTGTGAACTTCTCCGGGTAGGTTGCCTTCCCCTTGGGCAGCTGCTACCCAGGGACTGAGCAGGGGCCACCCTCCTGGGTGCCAATGAGTCATCTCAGCACCAAGCAAGGAAACCGGAGTAATTCAGGATATTCCTCTAGGTACATTTCATTGTGCTGTTTTTATAAAACACAATTATAACGTGTAGGAAGCACAGGAGTGATTCTATGGCAACAGGGGCCTAGCCCTTGTTAAGGCTGCTAGCAAGCTGTGGAACTTCGGGTCACTTCTGAGTTTCTGAATCTGTGAAATGAGAGAATCGGAAAAGATCTTCTCTAAGTTATTCCCCCAACTTAAAAAATTATTGTGTTAGAGAATAATGTCATTTAGCATGACTAAACACTGCTACCATTATACTCCAAGGAATAAGTACTCATATAAACAAAAATGTTAATGTACAATTGATAAATTTTATTCCTAAAAAATAAAATCTTTCCAGAAGAGACTTGCCATGTTTCTCCCAGCAGTGGGCAAAACAATCTACTCTTTCTGCTTCTATTGAGACAACTATAAGTGGGTTTTTTTAAATTAAGTGCTTTATTTTGAGATAATTGTGAATTCACACATAGTTGTAAGAAATTATACAGAGAGCTCCTCTATACCCTTTACCCACTTCCCCCTAATGGCAGCATCTTGCAAAACAGTGGGACAATGTTGCGACCGGGATACTGACACTGACACCGACACCTCAGGACACAAAACATTTCCACCAGAAGGGCCCCACAGGTTGTTCTTCCCGCCTGTCCCCATCCCCTCCTTAGTCTCGGTCACCCACTCATCTGTTTTCATTTCTATAATTTCATCATCTCAAGAATGTTCCATTTATATTACATAATTCCATTTCTATAATGGAATCAGACACAATGTAACCCTTTTGGACTGGCTTTTTTCCTCAACGTAGTTCTCTGGAGATCAGTCCGGGTTGTTGCCTGTTACCTAGAGTTTGAGAGTCTTTTTATTGCTGCGTAGTGTCCCACGGTATGGACGTACCACGGTTTGTTTAACCACCCCTTGTTGAAGGGCACCTGGCTTTTTTCTAGTTTTGGGGTATTATGAATAAGCTGCTACAAACATTTTGTACAGGTGTTTGTATCAACCTAACTCTTTGCATCTTAAGTTTCAACTGCTATAGTAGCCACATACACTCCCTCCCCACCAGACTTTTCCTCCTTATTCCTAGTGATGAACACACTCCAAGGATGTTTAAGTGGCCTAATTTCCCAGTAATTTCTCAGGATCGGGTCTCAAGGTGTGAAAATCCAACGAAAGAAAATTACATGGTTCCTGCCATCCAGAAATTTACAGTCTACTGGAAGCAACATTAAGACACAGGAAACACTGACATCATAAAATAACACTGCATGTCATCAAATGCTAGACCGCACAGTACAGAACTGACTCAGAGGAATCTGGAGACGGGAGAGAGGTGTGAAGGCCCGACGTCTGGGGGAAGCTCCTC